GTTTTGTGTGATTATGTCAAATCCAATGGCAGGAGTAGCTATTTCAAAGACAGAAGGAAATATTATGGTAACAATTTTATATCTACTATTGGCTTATTTTGAAGCCCTTTATTGCATTCATTGTTTTGTTTTTACTGTTCCTATTCTGTTCTGTTCTGTTTGATTTTTACTATCTCCAAAGTTATCTGCAGTTATTTTGCAGATGTCAAGAGGCATCATGGTTGATTTTGTATGTTTCAAAGTCCTGTATCTCTTATACTGGTTTGATTGTTTTTCTTCTGTTTTATTCTTTTCAAAATTTAAAAAAAAAAAAAAAACTAGAAATGGCATTTTACCCAGCTAGTCCACTTCCAGGTGTCTTCCCAAAAGAGTTAAAGACCCCATGTCACAGTGATACACATATTTATAGCAGAACAACCCAGAACCACTAAGTCTTGGACGTGGTCTACCTGTCCATCAACAGCTGAAAGGGTAAAGAGAATGTGGTGTTTCTACACATTGGAATACTCCTCTGCCACAAAGGAGGATACAGTTGAGTCGTCTTACCTTGAATACATAATGATAAGTGAAATAAGACATCCAAGCATAAAAGTCGTATGGCTTCTCTCACAAGAGAAATGCAAACTATAAATACAGAGCAAAGTAAAAGATACATAGTAGGAAATAGGTTTTGCAATGGGAAGAGGGTCAAGAAATGAAGGGAGAAAAGAGAGAAAGATGTGGTTCACACATGAACCGATTCTCCAGGAAGAATGTGATCATTATGCACTGCAAACTTGGACTAATAAAAATAAAAGTTGAAAAGAATGAAATGGCAAGAAGCAACTAGAAATAAGCCTTCGGAGACTGTATGCAAAGACAGCACCACTGCAATAATGGGACAACAGGACAGAGAAGGACAGAGGTGAAAAGGCCAGAATTATAGACTTAGGGGACACCAGATTTCTTTTTTAAACATAAAGAATGAAATGCTATAGAACACATAAGCCAAAAACAAACGAACAAAAAAAAAGTTGGGCTAACGCAATGTAAGAGGGACGAGAGGAGAACACTGGAAGAACAGGGCATTGCCTTTCTATAAAAAGTTCCACTCTAGGGGGCTGGGGATTTAGCTCAGTGGCATAAGCATCTGCCTTGTAAGCAGGCGGTCATGAGTTCAATCCCCGGTACCGAAAAAAATGAAAAAGACAAAAAAAAAAAAAAAGTTCCACTCTAGCCGGGTGTAGTGGCTCACGCCTGCAATCCCAGCACTCTGGAGGCTGAGGCAGGAGGATTGTTGTGAGTTCGAGACCAGCCTGGGCCACAAAGTGAGCTCAAGACCAGCCTAAACTGCATAGCGAGACCCTATCTCAAAAAGACAAAAAAAAAAAAAGTTCCACTCTAGTGTCCACTGCTACAGTAAAGTCCACTCTGTTGTCCAATGCTACAGTAAAGTCCACTCTGCCGTCCACGGCTATGGTAAAGTTAAAACTGTCACCTGGCTGTACAGAGAATGCAGGTCTAATGTTCAGTTACCAAATGGGAATTAAAAACGTGATGACCAGTGGGAATGGAGCTCACAGGAGCCCGAGGTGGGGTACAGCTAGAGCGTGGACTGGGTCAACACGGGGAGGCAGAAAGGGGTCCTGGTGGCTGTGGGCAGGAACCCACACCCTGTTTCAGATTAGACTAGAGGTAAACTGGGCACAGGGGGCAGCTGGGTGAAGCAGGCAAAGCAGGTGGGGCTGCGAACCTAAAGCAGGGACTCTCCCATAGCTGCCACATCTAAGGTCCAAATTAAGACTCTGATTAAAAGGCACAGCGAGAGCGCTGTTGGCAGAGGAATGTAACTTTCTGAAGGCAAACACACCCTAAACCTGGAGGGGAAGAAAACCTCTGAAAACTACGAGGTGGGCAGAAGGATCAGGCACGGTGCAATCTGGGGGTGCAGACGGCAAACTACAGATCTCTGGGGGTGGAGAAACAATGCCCCCGCCTGGGACCCCAGCCTAGATGCCAGCACATGCAGACCAGGAGTAGGTGGAGCAGAGCCAGCCGCATCCTCCAGGCACTCAGTGCCACTTTGGATGCAATCCAGACGGGCAAGCGCAGGACCCTGAACCGGAAGGCAGGAGCCCTCCTGGCCCTGCTGGCAGCACCTTGCTTTACCCAGGGAGGACCTGGCTGTGTGCATGTGCCTGTACGTGTGTGCATGTGTACGAAGAGAGCCAGCAGCTGGGGCAAGAAACACCGTGGTGGGGGGGCCACCCCAGCAAGCCACACCTCCTAAGAGCTGGCGCTGTGTGAGGCCACCAATGTGTGTTTGCCCCCTGGAAGGGTCAGTGTCTCTCCTGCAAGCACTGTGTGACAAACTTCCTTTACATCCGGTCACAGTGACCAGCACAAACTGGTTCAAAGGACCCCTTTAATCCCCACTTCCTTATTCTTAGGGTGAATGAACATTTTTTATTCAGAAGTAAAGGTCATTCATAGTTTTTGAACTTCTTATTCAAGCTCTTTTCCCATTTTTCTAGTTTGCCTTTTTCTTATTAGAGTTTTGTATTGTCTTTTAATGTCATATATTGCAGAAATATTATTAGCATATTAAAATATGCTAATACGCATACTGAAATTCCTTCCAACCACTTGAAAACAAAATCTCAAAGGTCCGAGCGTCTGCAGGCACAGGACCGGGCCGCTTCCTGCCCACCGTGTATGACTGCTGCCCACATCTCCCATGTGGCTGACCCCTGGGTGTAAAGCTCAGGGCCACCAGTAAGTGTCAACTCCGTGTTCTCCAGCTCACACGCAAGCCAGGGCCCAGGGTCCCGCGCGGCTGCAGCCAGAGAGCTACAGGAAGCCGGAGCCACAGTCAGGACACGGAAGGGCAGGGTCTGCAAGGTGACCGCGTGCTGCCTGCAGGTCACTGTGGAGGAATCTTAAAGCCGATGTTCCCCACTGCCTTTCTCTGTTCCCACTGTGGTCAATACCTGACCAGCACAGGAGAATGAAAATTCTGGTGCAGGTTTGAACATGGGCTTCTAACATGACCGTTTTAAGTGAATATTAAGGTTTCTTTTTTTTTTTTTTGTCTTTTTCCTTTTTATCGGTACCAGGGATCGAACTCACGACTGCCTGCTTGTAAGGCAGGCACTTATGCCGCTGAGCTAAATCCCCAGCCCTGTGAATATTAAGGTTTCTTGACATGGTAACAACGTGACATAGTTTAAGTAACAGTCCTAATATAGAATCAACATACGTTGTGGGTAATGAGTTGTTTTAGGCAAAACACATTTAGAAAATAGCAATAACTAGGGCCTTGGAATATAAGGGACAGAGACCCAACCCTGTTACACCACATAAACCTGCCAATGTCATCAGCAGAAAACCAGAGAAATAAATACGGTAATGCCTTAAAGGCGTAAACAAGTACCACATTTTTAAAAACTCAATTTAAAAAGGATAATTTTGGTTTGTGTGTTTCTTGATTTTTTTTTAAAGTTACAATCAAGTGAACGTACCTTAGGAATAAAATCACTGATAATTTTACATAAGCACAGACCAACAAGTGCAATTAGTTTCAACTTCCTTGAAGAAAAATTAGCTTACTACTGAAGACACAAGTTAAACTGTTTTTATTATATTAATTAACCTCAGTTGTGAGTTAAGGGGAGGGAAAACAGGAGCACCTTTCCTAGACAACTGGAGGTCACAGGTCACTGGCCACTGTTACTCTACAGTAACAAAAAAATACACCTAATAAATACAGTAACAAAAAAATATACCTAATAAATAATAGCAATCAATCATTGTCATGCTATGAACCACTAACAATTAAAAATCATAAGCATGAAACAAAGTTTTCCTGTTTTTGCCTTTTGACAAAGAAAGTTTTATGATTCATGCAAAATAACAAATTAATACCATATAGCAATCAGTTATAGATAACTCCCATAAAACCAGATTTAAAAAAATACAAATTATACTACCTTAAAATTACTTAGCATACTTGCAGCATTACAAAATTAGGATGAATTCTGAAAAATAACCTTTATTAGCTATATTAGACCATCATCTAAATAAAAGGATTGGACTTTTAAAAAAAATCTTAAAATATTAGTAATAAAATTGTTACATGTAAAAATAACTTACTCTAAATAAAAAGAAAAAAATTTAAACCACAACTCAAAAAACACAACATAATGAATAAATCAATTAGCATATAAGCATTTGTTTTACCAAATGGAATATGCCATGTTTAAGTAGGAAGTATATTTTATTGTAAAAGGTGAATTTCAGAAAAAAGATCAGAAACCCTTCAAAGCTAAAACATACTGTCTATGCTCATCACAGAGACTGTATTCATCCCACTGCACAAATTTATTAGACTTTAACAAATCTGCACAGCCATGATACAGATATCTCAGTGGCACATTTAAACTTAACGATTTGTCTACCATCTGTGATGACGGACCTGCAGTAGGCAAAGCTGCTGGCAAGCAGTGAGCTGAGTTTTGCGGAATCTAGCCTCACCCCTGGGCATCTGGGCCGCAGCCAGCTGGACCCCTCTGGCTGAGCCTTGTGCTGCCTGGCTCCCCGGCTCTGCCAGTCTTTCCAAGATACAAAGCAACGTCTGCAACATGAGGCAATTTGCAACTATATGGGTAAGAAGAGAGTTCGGAGGCCAACGGACACACAGACCCACAAAAAGGAACTCTTTCCGTCACATGCAGCCCGCTGTAGAAACTGATTGCACCTACCGAATCGCACAGCTGAGGTTTTAATGAAACCCACACACAGGAACATGCATTACCTCCAGCACCTGAAATCAGCCTCCCAGACATAAGTACGGACATGGCCAGGGATTAAGGAGAAACTGCACTTTCCTAAGAGAAAGTCTCTCTTAGGAAAGAGCACTTGTTCTTTCAATTCTTGTAGAACATACATTTCTATTCCAAGAAGAAAAACTAAAATATCACTATCTTTAAAAACTACTTTTTCAAACACAAATATTTACTCACCCCGCTCAGCAGCAAATGCCTGACTAGCGGCAAGGACTTTTGGATTATACCTTGTCCCCTCTGGAAAAATCACAAGGTACATCTGTGGGACACAAAGAAACCAGTTTGTTTTCGGTGTGAGCTCTGTTGTTATTATTCTACTGATCAACACTAACCCTCTTACTGCTAAGAAAGACAGTGTTTCCTAGGGTGGGTGAAATGTATGTGGATTTCACTTCAGGCAGAGTAAGCAAAATCAAAGTCCGGGAGTTAAGTCTGACTATAACAGATACCCTAATGGCGCAGTAACTAAGAATCTAAAAGCATTTCTAACAACATGCTAAGAGGCACTAGTTAAAAACCTGGTCATGCAATGCTCCCCAATAGTGAGTAAAATGGCCTTTCTCCTCTGAGACCCTGAAATATTTCTTTTCTTCTTTTCTTTTTTCCTTTCTTGTGGATACTGGAGATTGAACCCTCATTTTTTTCATTTTGACACAGGGTCTCACAGGATCACCCTGGCTGACCTTGACTTGCAATTCTTTTGCTTGAGCCACCAAATAGCTGGGATTTCTAGGAGAGCAATGAGATATAATAAGAGGGCTCAGCCAGGGGAGGCAGGATACTGGGGCCTCTGCCCCGCAGAGCATTAAAGAAATGAAGCCCCTGCTCCAGCACAGGGCGGAGTAAGAACACTGACATCCACTTACAGTCAAATCCAACTATGCAAGGAATTTTGCTTTTTTTTTTTAATCCGTACCGGGGATCGAACTCACGACCGTTTGCTTGCAAGGCAGGTGCTTATGCCACTGAGCTACATCCCTAGTCCCCAGGAATTTTGCTTTATACACACACAAATCCCTTCTCTACTATTTTCATTGTAAGAACCAAAGATCCTATTCTCTGCTGTCATGATCTCCATATTTTAAAACATTCAATATGCTTTTTTCATGACATGCCCTATCTTTCTGTAGTACCATCTGAAACAGATGCTTCAGTCTCTAGGTATAAAATAAGTATTTACATTAAAAGCCTATTTAAGAAATAAAGATTATTCAAGTTACAATCAACCACTGAATTAGTAACTTTCTATTAAAGACAGCCTTTTTTTCTATGCACTAGCTTCTTTCTTTCTCTTTTCTCCCTTTCTTTTTGGCGTGGTATCAGGATTGAATCCAGGGCCTATGTACTAAGCTACATATCCAGTTTGTTCTATTTTTTTGGGGGGGGGGGTAAGGCATGTTTAAGTTGCTCAGTTGCCCTGGGTAGCTTGGAACTGCCATAGTAATCCTCCTGCCTCAGCTTCCCAGAGTGCTGGAATCATAGGCATGCACCATGGTGCCCACCTACCTAACGTGTGTGTTGGTCCTGGGATGGACACCAGAGCCTTCACAAGGAGCTACATCTCAAGTCCTTTTTATATTTTCATTTTGGATAGGTTCTCACAGGAGACCCCCAAGAAGACCACAGCCCTGATGACAGCTTGGCTTGAGTCCAGGGACACTGACCCTGGAATGACTTTCAGAATTGGTAATTCTAATTTTAGCCAATACTCTTGTGAAAATTTGTTACCATGGCAACTTTAAATTATACCTTTAAGCCTTACCACCACATTAAATAGTAGTCACTGCAAGAGTTAACATGTAAGGAAGCAAAAATTAAGGTTAGAAAGGTTAAGTAGCTTGAGCAGAGTAACAAGGTTTAAGCAGCAAATCTAGCACTTAAAAGCCAAATCCAGTATCAGAGGATTATCAGATAATCCGATTGCAGTGGCTCCCTCCCATTTGAAACTGGAAGAGAAAGTATAACTTCAGCACACAACAGCTCCCTGCTTTGTTTTGGCTTTTATGGATTATGAGCTACTTTTGTCATTGGTTTCTTAAGGTAAGCTAATAATAAGTGTTACTAGCTTGAACTGTAACCAGAGGACTGCTATAGCCCTCTTGGTTGTCAGTTTTCCTTGCATCTGTCAGGGAGTACCTCATGAAAAGACTGTCTCAGTGGCAATTGTGGCGATGTGTTTCTTAGTCATTTATAATACAAGTGCACTTTTAAACACAAACTCTGAAGTCTCTTCAATACTAATACTGTATAAGAGAGGATGTAATCATGGACTAGATTCCTATGAGAAACACTAAGCCATATGAAAACTGACAACAAATATATTCTATCAAATTAGTCCTTCATTAACTTGCAAAAATGGAGTATAACAAAGTAGTCAGGCAATAATCTCTGTTCTATGGCTCTTAGATGTTGAGAAAATGAAACGACCATCCGGAATCTAAAAGCCAGATGTGGCCACAGTGTCCTGAACGGGAAGAGCCGTTGGCCCTGCTCCACGGGCAACAGGCCTTCCTCGCCACACACGCTGTGCTACTCCTGCCCTGAAAACACCTCCTGCTACTTCTAAAGTGATGGTATAGCTGGCTTGCAAAGGTTTTTGGATAAGAAAGCCTGCTCAAATAACTGTTGTTCTCGCAATCACCGGAACAGAGGCAGCAGGACAGTGGGGGGGAGGCGGGGGGAGGGGAGAGAGACCTGCCCGTGCACCCTGAACCATGGCCGCAGGACTCGGGCCCATTACAGTGCTGGTCACTGCAGCTGCTGGTCAGCACAATAGCTGGTCACTGCAGCCGTGTTGGGGAGGTGGTTCCCACCCCTTTCAGCACAGCATTCTGCACATGGAGGCTGAGATTGTTTTTTTCTTTAGCAAACTTTTGTACAATCACATTCACATCGAAGTTTTTTTGCATTTATAGGTATTCACTCTTCTTTGATTTTTCAAACAACTCAGTATATACAAGAAATCCAAATTTACACCTGACAGAAAAATTGCTTCCTTCCAGAAATAAATCTGGTGTGAAGAAACAGGCATGTGCCATGCACTGGGAGCAGCTGTACCCCATCTCAGATGTAGACCGGGAAGGGACGGGAGCCCACACCCTTCTGCCCCAAGGCCACCTGCCCACCGGCCTTCAAGAGCCTTCTGCAGGAAGCCCCAGGGCACTTCCCAGGCAATTGCACAGGCAGCATCTTTCAAGACGATTCTTAGATCCCAGCGTAGCCCCCAAAATCTGGGCGTGAAGGGAATCCGGGCCTCACCGGTGTGCCCGCGGCCACGTAGCTCTGCAGGGTGTCCCGCATCTTGCGCTCATTGAACTTGGCACTTCGCTTCACGTAGATCCCCCCGTGCTGGACAGAGACAGTAAGGGGAGCAAACGTTTGTTCTTAAAACAGGAAATGTTCTACAGTTGTCAGCAAGTCCACTTTACTTCATAGAACACAGCATTTAACTCTATTTCAGAATTCATGCCCTATTCAAGGTTCAAACAGTCGCACCAAACAGCTCTCAGCTGAAAACTATCCGTGTAAAATTCATATAGAACTACATGCCACACTATAGTGAGAAACACAGGAACATCTGGTTTTGTTGGTAGTTCACATAAAAATGCTTCATTTCTTAAAAATATAACCTTTAAGGGGCTGGGGATTTAGCTCAGCAGCATAAGCACCTGCCTTGCAAGCAGGCAGTCATGAGTTCGATCCCTGGTACCGATAAAAAGGAAAAAGGCAAAAAAAAAAAAAAAAAAAAAAAAAAAAAAAAAAATATATATATATATATATATATATATATATATATATAAAACCTTTAAACTAAAACTTGATCAAACAGATCCTAATTCCCAATATTTCCAGCGACTTCTTAACAGAAGCACTTTTAATGTCAACACTCATGATCTTTAGGGGTTTAAAGATCTGATCCAGTTACAGGTATTTATGTAGCCCCTAATGGAGCGTGGACCAACCCACAGATTGTGGCCCGGGCCTCTGCAATGACTCTATGTGACCAGAAGGAGGTGACAAAGGTCGGGTCCAGGAGGCCCGGTGCCAACACCAGAGACAAAGATGAAATAAGCACCTCCGGACCTGGTGGCCGCTGTCTCTGTGGCGAGAAGGCCGGGAGCAACAGTCCTACGTGTACACGAACCACATTTCCTCATCTCCTGTGCTCAGCACACGACAGTTTACTGTTTTGTTTTGGCTTTTACAGATTATGAATTACTTCTGCCGTTAGTTCCTTAAGGTAAGTAACTACTGAGTATGCTTTCTAGTTTCCTATTTGCATTTTTGCTATTTCATGTAACTATATGGATAATCACACGTACATAAACACTATTAAAAAATAATGAGCCAGGTATGGTGGTACAAACCTATAATCCCAGCGCTCAGGGAGCTAAGGCAAGAAGACCGCTGCAAGCTTGGGGCCAACATAGGCTATATACTGAGTTCAAGGCCAGCCTGAACTCCATAGTGAGATACAGCCGCAAAAAAACAAAAACTAACAATTCGATTTAGAATGTAACTTTTTAAAAATCGTGTGTGGGTGAAGGTGTAGCTCAGTGGTACAGCATTTGCTTGGAATGCGTAAGGACCTGGGTTCAATCCCAGTAACTTCAAAATAATGCAAAAAAAAAAAAAAAAAAAAAACCTCTTAAATTAAGGACATATTGAATTTTAAAATATAAAATTTCTATAAATTGATACATAAATAATCTTAGCACTTGGGAGGCTGAAGCAGAAGGATCACAAGTTCAAGGCCAGCCTATCTAGTGAGATCCTGTTAAATAGATAAATTTAACACATCAAAGAAAAAAGCAGAGAAACAGGTTACCTGTGAAAAGTAATAACCATAGAGAGGCAGCCACTTCAGTCTGTCCTTCAGCACGTAGCGCACATGCCCCACCGCGTTCTGCCTCATGGCCAGGATGTCGGCGACAATCCAGTCAACTGCGGAGACAGCCCGGTTAGCACACCCACATGGCTTGGCCATGTCATTCCCCTCACAGGACAGAACCAGCCTTTCCAGCTTTTAAGAATGTTTGGATCAGAACTCTGAAATTATGTTAAATCAATCCCAGATACTTAGAAAATTATATTGTGGGAATGTCTCATCACACTTTGAAAAAGGGGATATTGCAAGCAAAAATGTCCAAAGGAAACAATCAAATACCACTAAACACTCTGTGTATCTATGTTAACCAGAAAGGCAGAACTGCACCATCCCCAGGGGACTTTGGGACACAGTGCCAGGTGCTGGCAAGGTGGGGTGAGCTCCTCACACACCCAGCGCAGGACCGGGGCCGCTGGTTAATACAGCAGCCTGGCGTGCACTGCCATGGGCTTGTGGGAGGAAGAACCAGGCTTGAGTGAGCAGCAGAAAAATTCCCCAGTAGTTGTGATCTGAACTTCCAGCAAGAGGAATTCTGAACCAAGGGTGTGGGTCTTTCCAGCACAAAGACAGCAAACACAGCAGAGGCTCCCCAGACCAGGAGAAATGCAGTGGAAGGGGCCGGGCAGCAGTGTCTGGAGACCCCAAGAAGTGCATCTTGTTTTCTGATGAGAACACAAATGTGAAAGTGACCCGTGGGGGAGACTCCTGAAACATTCACAAACACGTTTCAGGGTGCAAGACTTAGAAAGAGGAGGTTCACAACCTGTGGAAGCAATCAGTCCGCCTGGGCCATTACAGAGTGAAAATCTTATGAAATCCTTTAGATAATACACATGACACAGGCTGTCTCAAAGAGTGAGCCACTTAAAACACTGAAAATTAACCTCCTAGGAAAATACCACTTATAATAAATTTCTTTTTAACGAAAGATTATCACTAAAGTTAACTTTAATTACTGATAACTTATGGCTTATAATTATTAAATAATTAAATTTTGCTAAAGCTTCTTCAAGCTCAGCAATGCCTGCAAGACCTCCCCACCCTACATGACCCGACCCCTGAGCCGCCTTACTGGCCAACCACTCAGCATTTCCTCTACATCAGAGGACACGCATGCCGCAGCAGGCCTTTCAAATCCCTGACAATTCTGGAAGGTTCACCATTACTGGACAGAACTTCCCATAGAGGCCCTGTCCTGAGCTCCTTCATATTCGGAGGTAATAAATGATTACTGATAAACACAAGCATCTGAAAGGTGTCTAAACACATCTCTGTAATAACTGTACCCACTGCCAACATAGGCTAGCTGGGAACTAATTCTGTGTGGCTCTGCAGAGTGCTCAGGAACAAGTATATCCTGGGATGGCATACAGAGCTGGGTCTGCCATCTTTTCCTGCATGAATTATATTTAAGTTTGGGGAATAACAAATGCACTTGTGTATTGAAACAATCATGTGTGCATCAGATGAGTCTTCCAAAAATGGTCAGGAGAAAGTGTAGGATTTCCAAGCTGACAAGTTCAGAATCAACTGTCCTGACCCAGCCTCTGGATCCAAAAGTCGCAGTGGAGACATCTGAGAACTGACATGAGCCATGCAGAGGCCAAAGCTGGGGCCACTGCTGTCTGCTGCTGAATTGTCTTCCTTGCTTTTCCTGTCTTCTCCCAGGTGACTCAGGTCCCAGCCCAGAAGGAGGCGAGCTTGTGACGCCTGTGCCCTGCAGGGGTCACAGAGCCCCAGGGACAGTGCTTCTTGAAATGTTCTCTGTGCCTGCACATTTTCACAGATTCTGAGGGTCACCAAAAGCTTTTTCTAAAGGTAATCTGATCACCACAGGCAGCGGTCACCCGGATCCCCGAAACTAAGTGCAGCACTCCTGCAGGGATGCTCCTGGGCAGGCACCAAACCCTGTCCTGTAAGGACAGAAGCCTGCGGTTCGAAAGCAGTCGAAAACCACTCCTCCACTACTTCTCCAAGTTATGGGTTCTCAAAAAGGATCCAAAAAGCGGCTTCCCAACCCCAGGGATGGCTGGCTGGGACTCAGTGTCACAGCACTAGGAGAGTCCCAGGAGCTTGGAGGCTGCAGCACTGAGTACAGGCCCAGAACGGAGCGCACAGGCTTCCTGTGCTTCCTGCAAGCCCCAGGTCCCGGCCCCAGTGCTGGGATGGAACCTGGGGCCATTGCCCCACCCTTTCATGAGGCAGTGTCTCTTTAAGTCACTAAATGACCCAGGCCAGGCTCAGCCTTGTGAGCCTCCCAGCGTGCTGGGGTTCCAGGCAGGTGCCACTCACCCAGCCTGGGGAATGCTCTCTTCTGCTGTTTTCTCCCAAGCGTGTCTGCTCAGAGGGAACCTATGTGACAGCCGATGCAAAGGAAGCACACAAGTGCCGGTTACTGTATTACTGATGTTACTACCACTTCCTCCAGGAAGGTCCAGGGATTTTCTGCCTGTGGTGATAGGAGGACCATAGCTCTGTCAGAGAACAGTATTTCCATAAAACCTGAAAAAGGAAAAGCTGGCAGGAAACTGAACAGGAATTTTAAGAGTCCTATTAAGTAGGAAAAAAATTCTGAGTTGACACAGAATTCACCGCTGTGTCATGCAGGAGAACCGAGGCTGCCCTGCACATTTCCCTGCCTGAGGCCCACAAAGCCTGCATGTGATTCCAAGAGCCCAGGCAGAAATTTTTCTCCTGCAACAGGACAAGGCAAAGAGGCCCACACTTCTGCACAGGCCAAGGTAGGAGCAGACACCCACACGGCCTCAAGTCCACTGTCATTAGATCCATATTGGAGCCGGTCTGTTAATACAGTTGAGAGGAACACACGGCAGGGTGGAAATGCTTGTCGGTCTTGGGACAGTAGCTCTCCTCCTGGGGATGTGAGTGTGACCATCGGACGCGCAGCTGAAGCCAATGCCTCCCAACTCCCTTCCTCGGTACTTACCAATGGTGCGGGCGAGAAAGCAACAAGGTCACCTTGAGGGGGGAGAGAATGAAGGGAAGTGGGGCAGGTGGTGTCCCAGCAGGTGAGTCAGGTCACTTTACAGCCTTACCCTAACCAATGTCACCCAATACGTGTACTGCATTAGTTACACAAGATGTCACTGCTGGAGGAAACTGGCGAGGGGACAGAAGCCCAGGGTACTATCACCACAAATTACCAACAACACTTAGACTGCAGTTTTTTTGTTAAAGTGCCTTAACCCAAAGTCTACAGGAGAGAAGTCTCCATGATTCTTCTGCAGAAGACGGGCACGTGAGAAAGAGGTCAGACACGGGCATGGGAGATGTGGCAGCCAGAGGACAGGGACACAGATGGCCACTGCTCTACAGACAAGAGCATAAAACACACCAACACTGCAACCCGCCAGTCTTACTTCTAGACACATGTCATGAAAGGAAGACTGGATACGGGGAAGAGCTACTCAAAGTAATGAGGACGAAGTGGACCAAGTTTAGAAAACCAGCTTTCACATTACTGACCATCTAAAAAGTGAAATCACAAAAGTGTAAGAACAGGCGTAAAATCTGCATAGAAAATTCATGTTTTAACTACAAAAATCCATTTAAATATATAAAAATATTTACTCATGGATCCTTTGTGAAAAAGCTAAGTTTCATGCAAATGGAATACAAACCTGTGCTGCGATGGTTTGCTAAATATATTATATTTTCTTTATTTTTTGGCAAATCTCCATATACCAGTATCTAAAAAACAAAAAGAAACATTATTTTGATATTAAAATATACAACATAAGACAATATGAAAAAACTTGCAAATACACGATGACATAAACACTTTATCCACAACAAACACTAAATTTCTGTTAGAAGCCACAAGATGACAAATAGCTTGTATTTACCAAGTAGTTAAATATAGGAGAAGGTTAATAGCCAAAGCATAAAAGAGAATGATCAATATCCTCAAGAGAAAAATCCACAGGCATCTATTGATTGCTAACAATACATAAAACTGCTCATAAATCTTCCTTAAGTCACTTCCAATTCAGAGGGAGAAAAAGACACACGGAAGAACTGGCATGAGACAAGGTGGTGTGAACACAGAGCAGGCTGCATCCTAGCGAAGTCAGACCGCAGAGCTGGTGTGTTCGCTGCACAGCCTCAGGGGAGGGCAGGAAGGGAGGCTCACAAATGCAAGACCAGGTGCAGGCACCAGCCCCGAGCTCCAGGCAGGGACAGCCAACACCCAGGCCCAGGGCCCAAAGCAGCTCACAGCCTGTGAAGGACCCAAACTGCATTTGGGGACAGGGGCATGCAGCTCCATGCCTGGGTCTCCACTCTTGCAGCAAAGAGCTGAGGGCGCCCAGGAGCAGGCAGGGGGAAGCACACCCCTCTGCAGGGGGAAGGGGCACCCAGAGACTTCCGGTTCCCAGGTCAGGCTGTACTTCCTAAACCGGGTGGTGGGGAAAAGGCTCACTCTGTCAGTCTTTCTGCTGCCTTTTATAGCTTAAATATCCTATAATAAAGAAACTGGAGTACACTTATCAAATCCTGAGTGGAATGGGTGCTAACTGGGTGTGATTGTTTTGCTTTAATTCGGGTCACTGGGGTTCTTTATCTTATCATCATGGATTATGCGAGATGATGAATTAGCCAAAGCCTTCTAGATTTGCCTTGTTCACAGGGATCAGCATTCCGTGGCAAAACATTAATATCTTAACAACAAAATAAAGAAAACAACAGTAACCTAACATCTTGGCAGAAAAATACACCTTTAGGGATGACAGCCCTGGAGCCCAGGGACAAGGACCAGGTTTCTGGTCGTTTCTTTAGAAACACTGCAAAGCTCAATGCACAGAATGTGTTTCGGTGTGTGCCTGATAGTTTTAAAATACAGCTCATCAACAGCATAAATAAAGTATATGAACCCAATACTTGGAGATATGCCTGACCTTAGAGAAGACAGCCTGATCTTAGGCTGAAGAGGACGCCTGAACCACCCAAAGAGTGCTTTCTGTCCATCCATAGATCCTCTCACCTATCCATTTATTAATGCATCCTTCCACCCATCCAGCCATCCTTCGATCCACCCATCCACCCATCCTTCCATCCACCCATCCACCCTTCCACCCATCCAGCCATCCTTCTACCCATTTATCCTTGCATCCATCCATCCTTTCAACAATCCATCCATCCATCCATCCATCCACCCTTCCACCCACCCATCCACCCAACCATCCATCCTTCCACCCATCCATCCTTCCATCTACCCATCCGTCCTTCCATCCATCCATCCATCCATCCATCCATCCATTTCAGAGTTTGGTTATGAGACTGACAGGTGATAGACTTTGATGACAAACAAAAGCCAGTTTTCACACAGTTATAGTACCAAGCATAGAAATACAGCACTTCAGTATGTCTTTTATAAACCTAAAAATATTATATTTTAAAATTCAAAAAAGTTGCCAAATGTGGTGCCTCACGCCTGTAATTCCAGCACTTGGGAGGCTGAAGTAGGAAGAGTTCAAGACCAATCTGGGCTACAAAGTGAATTCAAGGCCAGCCTGAATTGTATAATGAGGCCTTGTCTCAAACAGACAAAAACATTCAAAAAAGCAAAGTGAAGGCAGCGAGGGAGACACAAAGGTCAGCACATTCACTTCTATCACAGCGAAGCAATGCCGCGTGCCGAGCACACTCGGTCCACGACCAGCTGCTGGCATTGCTAGCTCCACATTTCTACTCTGTGAGGTAGCCCACTTCCTCACTGTTCCACTACACTAGCCTTGAAACGTCACATTTCCATTCTTTAGTTTTTGGAAAGCATGACTCTAAATGTCTTCTTCCTACTTAAGCCAATGGGTTTCTCTAGTGTCAGACATATATAGCACACAATGCTCAGCAGAGACATCAATGCAGCAAATAATGCACTGTACACAGCTTTTTAAAAAAAAGCCCCTTTAAGAATAAACATTAAAAAGCCATCTTCCTAACCTTTCTAAGACTGTGCGATGCACTAACCTGCCCACCTTGAACTGGCTTCCTAAACAACTGCTACTTTGAATCCGGTATTTTGTGTGACTAGCAGGACAAGGAAGCTAAACCTGGTCAGTGTTACTGCTCTTCCACATTATCTACATCAAGTACAAAAAGTGGGCTCATGGTGGGGATGCAGTTCTCCTCCTCCATCATAGAAATGAACAGAGGCTGGGAGCCGTCAGGGTCCGCCCTGTGGGGACAAACCTGACAGATGAAGGTGTGTGCTCCGTACCCACACTTACCCCTGCAAAGCACAGTAGGGAACAAAACATTGCTTCCAACCAAAATGCTAAAGAGGATTCAACGGAAGTGAGACTGGGAACACAGGGCAGCTCTTAGTACTTAAAGCTTTGAAAGATCTGGGAGTAAATTAAGTGCCAGTGAAACACTGTAAACATTAATGTCACAAATGGAAGTCACCACCAACTGCTATGAACATCCACTGAATAAACCGAGGAAGGGTATGCGCAAGTGTGATGTTTACACACCCAACACAGGAAGGGTATGCGCAAGTGTGATGTTTACACACCCAACACAGATGACCTTTAAGATCCTCTACTTCTGAAGCGCCAAAGATGAACAAATGTCTCATTCTAAAACATCAGATTTCTTTCATTTGTTGGTTGAGACAGAAAGTTTAGGTTATGGGTTTTAGGTGGAAGAGAAGAAAAAGCTCCCACTTTAATGAAGACCTTCAAAACACTAAACCTTATCTTATTATCAAGTATGTGCTGATGAGGTGACTATAGTTATCACAATTAAACAAAAAGTTTTTAAGAACACATAAAAATTTCACAGAGACTGCTAAATGATCCAGTGATTTCCCATCCGCCCATCTGGGCTACCTCACTCAGGGGAGTGAGCTGTGAGCCCGATGCCCTCATCAGTTACCTCCCTGCCGAGCCCCCCACCTCTAAGCCAGCCCCAAGGTGAAGTGGTGGAGCGGGGATCACACCCATCGTGGCTGCCCAGGAGCTCCGGTGGGCGGCGATGCTGCCACGGGTTCTAAATCACTCTCTCTGCGTATGTATTCTGCAGGTGGAATAAGCTACACCGCAGCTCTGGGATAAGCTTTTGCGCAGCATTCCAATGACTTTCTAAATGCATCATTCTATGAACCTTCTAGTAGTTGTACTTCCAACCATGTTTGCCACTATGTGCGTTGGGACTGAAGACTGAGCCCAGGGCGTCCCACACACAAGGCCAAGTGCCCTCCCCCTGACCCACCTTCTCAGCCCTTTGTATTTTAGCTTAGACTGGCCTCAAAGCGCAACCCTCCTGCCTCAGTCTCCCGAGTCACTGGGATTACAGGCACGCTTCACCATACTCGGGGCATTAATTACTTCTATAAATGTATTTTACGGATAAGTTGTTCCTTTAAAACATGCATATAAAAACAAGAGTTTTTAATTATAATTCATAATGGTTTCTTCTCAATTGCTGAATCTTAGGGGCACCCAGTTTTTTAAAGCTGAAGTCTCTTTATTTTGTGTTTTTGTATAATTAAGCCGGAGGCAGACCTTCCTGGCAACTGTCTCACTGGTTATTACTCTGTGTTACTCACCTGTGTCTATTTTCAAACTGGCTTCACCAGGAGGGCTGGAGCAAGGATAAACCTGCTGCGCCCACTCTGCCCACTGTTTTCTATCTGCTCTACGACACAGGAAGCACTGGAGGGGCCGCCCTGTTGCACCACCACAGGGACACAGCACACTTGCTTTGCCAGAAACTGCCTCTGTGTCTGCACGGTCTGCGTGGGAGGCAACACTGCCCTGGCCACAGCCCCACCAGGAAAGCCTGCGGGTGCACCTCGGACTCCGGCAGCAGTCACTGTGTCTAAAAGTACAAGCACGCAAGCACACAATGCTCCGCACGCAGGGAGGGTGCAGAGCAATGTGTGCTTGCGTACCTTTAGCTTTTTTTGCATCCCACAGGGTGCTGCACTGCTGCAGCCAGACCCCATAGGCCTCAGCGACCCCACCTATGGGTGAAGGTGAGACCCTCCTCCCTTTGTGCCCCGGCCACAAAGCAGTCACCAAGAGCACGGGCCACACGCGCACCTGGGCACCAATCTGTACCAGGTGGCGGATCACTGGTGCTGAGCAACCTCACCTCCTTCCTGGGAGATGTGTGCAGTACAGTGGCCTCTACTCACAGGATGGGCAAACCAGCACACCTGCGTCCGTGCAGCGAGGCCTCGTTCGTGAACAGTTCTGTCTGCGAACAGCTTGGGCTGCAAACACAGACGCTTGGCCACATTTTGTTTCTGTTTGCAAACTGCATGGGAGACGAACACAGCCAACGGTCATCTTTCTCTCTCTCTCTCTCTCTCTCTCTCTCTCTCTCTCTCTCACACACACACACACACACACACACAGAGGAATGTGGCTGACTTTTCCAGCATCACAGAACAAATTAAATTCATGAACCAAGGCACCACTGCACTCCACAAAATTCCTAAAACATAACAAGCATCAAAAAAGGAAGTTAAAGTTGTTGCTTTCACAAGTATAATTTTTTACTGCTGAGAGAAACAGCTGTCTTGTCTCTCCCCCAGAGCAGCTTTTGACTACACTGCAAGGCAGCCATGAAGAATTCGTATTACCCTGCGTTACAATCCTTTGTAGTGAGTTTTTACATGTGTCTTCATAACGATGAAATAAGACACACGCCTGAGAGCAGTCTGGTCAGCTGAGCTGCCGCAC